CACCATGCCCGGCTAATTTTTTATATATATATCAGTTGGCCAATTAATTTCTTTCTATTTATAGTAGAGACGGGGTCTCGCTATTGCTCAGGCTGGTTTCGAACTCCTGACCTTGAGCAATCCGCCCGCCTCGGCCTCCCAAAAGCTAGGATTACAGGCGTGAGCCACAGCGCCCGGCCTGGTCACCAGGTTCTTTCTGCTGCCAGGCTTTGAAGGTAGTTCAAATTAGGGGGAGGTTTTCCTAGTTTTTGCTAGAACACTCCTTCCCAAGTGCAACAGAGGCTGTCCTGTGCCCCTGAGTGCAGGCCGGGGCAGAGGGAAGGTGGAGCTGAGGAGCCCGGTAGACCGCAGTTGCTGCAGTCGCGTGGTGCTTGGCTCCGAGGGGGAAGGAAACACATTTGGCGAGCCCTGCTCACTAGTGACACTCATACTTAGTGCTGACTGTGCCGCACACTGTGGAGTGTTTTACTCATTCTCTCAGTTAATCCTTACAGCAACCCTATTCCATGGGCGGTGGCATTACTCTAAATTCAAATCGAGCCAGATGTGGTTGCATGCGCACCTGTAGTCCCATCTATTATTAATGCTCGAGAGGCTGAGACAGGAAGATCACTTGAGCTCAGGAGTTTGGGGCTGCTGTGAGCTGTGATCATGCCACTGCGCTCCAGCCTGGGAGACAAAGCAAAACCCCATCTCTTGGGGGGAAAAAAAACAAATTTGAGAGTCCCAGAGTGAAAAAACTCCAAAGTCCCTGCCCTCCCAAGCTGCCCTCCTCCACAGAGGCTGTGAAGCCCGATTTCTCCTTCCTGAGGAAGAGCCATCTGCTCCTTTTCTGAAAGTTTGGTCCCCCAAGTAGGCTGGGTAATGCCAGAAGGTCTTGTCCCTTCCTAAAATATTTCCAGGCCTCTTGCCTGTGTTGGGGCTCAGGACAAACTATCCCAAAATATGACTGTAGGAGACCAGAACCTACCACCTCAAAATATATTTCTCTGACATATTTTGAGCTGGTTATTCAGAGAAACTGCAGACATAGGTAGCTCTGAAAAGCTGTCCTTTTGTAGTTTACATCTATAAAGGAAATCTACATAAGTAAAAGTATCTGTATCAGGAAGAGGGCTGCTCCAGACCACTTTTATTACCGGAGACTTTTTATCTGTGTAACAAGACAACCTTTATTCATCATGCGTTTCCTCCCTTCACCCTCCCATAAACCCCAGAATTCCTAAGCCCCTATTCCTTTCTGTAGCTCAGGATGCTATATGACCCTTCTTTGAATCTCATCTTTTGTGGCACTCCCCACCCTCTGCCACAGCCTTTGATACTATTGACCTCAGTGTCAAAACAGGGACTTCTAGAAACTCTCCCTCTCTGCAGCAGCTTGTGTGGCAGTTAAAAGCATGGCTTTTGGAGCAGATGGACCAGCCCTGGAATCCTGGCTAGGCAGGCTTGTAGCTGGTGATCTTGAGCAGGTCACCTAGCTCACCGGGCCTATTTCCTCATTTGTAAAAAATCTGAAATAATAATAGCACCTCCTTCATGATGTTCTGAAGAGGGAATGAGATTGTACAATTAGGGCCTGGCTCAGGGGCTGGCCCTGCTCCCCTCTTCCTGGTTGACCTTCTACCTCTCGAATACTGTTCATCTTCTTGCAGTTCATAAACATTCTGAGTGTCTGATGTGAGACTGGTAAACCAACACCAGCTGTGCCCTCAGGTGGCCCCCAGTCTCAGGATCACAGGTGTTGCTGGCACAGAGGAGGCCCAGGCAGGGGTAGACAGTGAAGGCTTCCTGAGGCAGTGCCACCCCAAGTCACTTCCTAGCACATCAAGGTTTTATTTTCATCATGGCACTTACGATAGCTTCTCATTAAGTGCTTGTTTATTGTCTGTCTCTTCCCTCAGTAATCCCAGTTCTGTGACAAGAGAGACCTTATTTGCCTTGTTTGTACTGGTGTCTAGAACAGTTCCTGACACATAGTAGGGGCTAATAAATATTTGTTGAATAAAGTAAGATGTATCATTAAGTGGAGGACAGGAAGCAGGAGTTGGCATGGTGAAAAAGGAAGGCTAAGCAGGAGTTGAAAAAGTGTTCTACTTAGAACCTACAATGCAAAGAGGTAATAGGCTTGGGGGCGGGGACCAGACACAAGGACCAGGGTGTGTAATATTGAGAGGTGAGTGACATCCAGGAACGGGGATTTCATCTAGAAAGCAGTGGGGTTAATCGTGCAAGGCTTTGAAAAGAAAAAGAAAGCAATGGAGGCACTGAGAAATATGATTTGGTCATCAGATTTACGTTTAAAAAAACCAGGGAGTTAGAGACGAAGATGAAGGAATGAGGGAGGGAGGGAGGCAGGGAGTCAGAAATTGAAAAGGGTAATAGTAAGCGAGGGGAGTTTGAAACGACGCAGGAGAGGAGGGAACTGCCGCACAGAAACTTAAGAGTATGAATGGCGGGAGGAGTCAAGAACGCAGTTTAGGCTTCTCTTTTACGTGACTGGGTGCCCATAGATGTCACTCGCAAAGGCCGCCCTGGAGGCGGACACAGCCAAAAGGAACGCCCCTCCACGCTCCGCCCATCGCGGAAGGACGGCGTCGATTGGCTGCTTTGAGGAACGCGCCGAAAGCTGCGCAGGGCGGGCGGGAGGCGGATCCTTGCGTCATTTCCGAGGGGCTTCCGGGACGCTGTTTCCCGGCTTCCCCGGCTCCGGAACTTCCGGCCTGCGCAGCCATTTTGACTTCCTGACCTTGGGCTCCTGCTGGCCGCTGTCTGTGGTCGGCTTGGTGCAGTTATGTCCGTCCTGACGCCGCTGCTGCTGCGGGGCCTGACAGGCTCGGCCCGGCGGCTCCCGGTGCTGCGCGCCCAGATCCATTCGAAGCCGCCGCGGGAGCAGCTTGGGACGATGGTGAGGAGCGGGCCGGGAAGCGCATAGGCGGTGCCGCGGGCCGGACCCTGCGTTCCACGGCGGGCTCGTGCCGGCCTCGCGAGCGCGCAGACTCCGGCGGCCCAGAGCGCCCTGCACCTCGCGGCCCGCAGCGCAGTGGGGAGCAGCAGTGCTGGGGTGGGCGTGTCTGGAGGGGACAGTGCCCGGGCGACAGTCAGTGCTAGGTCAGCGTTAGGTCTGCACACAAAGCCCAGGAGTCTCGGGTCAGACCCTGTCAGTCCCAGTCCTGTCG